GGAGTTGTGATGATCTTGGCTCTGTCTTACCATCATCCATGGACAAAATTCAGTTTTTTACACTATTATAAGATGTTATGCTGACATATTTCACTTATATTGATATAAGAATTTGGAGAAGGATTATCTTTTTTTCATAATGTACAGAGTTTAACACAGTAGGGGCATAATCTTGATTAGGGCCTCAATGTGGTACTATAATAGAGTTAATAAATAATGCTTGACAGCAGTCTAAGAATGGAGGTATGGAAGGAAATGAGGCATAACTTTTGAATAACCCTTAATTCAAATATCATAGATGCAAAGGAAACCACAAGGTAAAGCCAGACTTTCACAGGACAATTCCATAATCCATGTGACAAGAAGAAATGCAGTAAAGCACATGTCTATGGTTCTACAGACCAAAATGTCTGATGTAAAGGTATTTTCCATGAAGTCAATAGTCCAATTAAAGTAAAAGGCTCTATTATTGCCACTTGATGGTCCTTTTTTTGATTATTGTATATATTGCTTAGCTTACCTATTGGCTCCTAATGAATCCTCATTTAATGAAAGACATGCAGAAAGATTATGTGGCTAATATATTATGAATTCAACTCTTTCCTTATTTGCCTAATATCTAAAGAAAAAAAAAGTTTTAATATTTTCTTTTCCTATTGCTTCTTTCTTCCTATTTTTTACAATTCAGTGTATCATGTTGGTTTCTTTTATTCCATTAAATAATTTCCCAAGATTTGTAAATGTTGAAATTGAAAAATAGAGAAAAAAAAAAAGTTTTTTAAGTATGTGATTTCCTGCAAAACAGAAAGTGGGTGTTTCCTGTTAAATATGCAGTAAAATGTTGGGTTTTTGCATAAATGCACAGCTGGTAGTACTCAGGTCGTGCTAACATTAATATGAGATTACTGTGGGAACTCGTTTGTGTTTCAGTGCAGTTGGTAAAACTGCAGTCATGCCCATTTAACAAGCACTAGGTCATGTTGATCAGTAATAAGCTGCACTTAGTTATACAAGAATTTAGAATGAAATCAGATCTGAAGTTCACCAACTGTTCATCAGGAATTTAACAAAAACTTTCTCATTCTTGCCAAAATGTTTTAATCTTTTTTGTTTTTCTTTTCTTTTTTTTTTTCCTTTACTAGTTTTTTCCAACTCATGAATTGGAAGTGAAGTCAGTTCCATGTGTAGACTGATACATGGAAATCATCTGATTTAGGCTGCACACACTGTGCATGACTGTTTCACTCTGACTTTGCTTCACTAAGGCAATTTCACAGTGGGAAATCTAGAAAAAGGCCCCAAACAAGGAAAAGATAACACAAGACACTTTAAACTAGAACAGGCCAATTTAAAAACATTAAGAAACAGTTAAGGCTCTGTATACAGTATTCAGCAGGGAGTTGGTGTGCTGGGTCTTTCTTCTCCTTCTCTTGGTATTAGTTATTGTAAGCACTTGAGGAACACCATGAGCAGCAGAGACAGCTCCAAAAATTCTTGAAAAAGTCTGAGTAACGTTTCTGTGTAGCAAAAGCCTGCACTGTCAGTTAATTTCCTGTAACTGTGCTATCTGTGAGCAGATGGAGTGAGTACATTTGTTTTAGCTTAGTGCTGGTCTGCAGGGTGAGAGAACTGGGGGAACCAGCGCTGGGAGCCGAGGTGAGCTCAGAGCTGCTGGAGGAGCCAGTCCCAGGCCATGAAGGGCTGCCCAGGTCATCCCAGGGGACACTGCTCTCCAAACTGGGTTGCTCTCCAAAGAGCTCATTGGGGTCTTTCTGGAGTACCTGGGAGACAAGTCACCAGCTTTAACTAGGGCAGGATCAGACTAGGGCTAAAACCAGACTCCCGGTCTCACAGTGAAGGTTACACCAACAGCACAACCCAGCACGCAGATGGTCACAGCCACATTTCTGCATAACCCACCTTGGAGGAGCAAGTGTAAAACATTTGCATTCTTGCCAGCCTTGTAGCTACCCTTGATCCAGCTGGCTGGCCAACAGATTGCTCCTGCTTCTGCTGTCAAGGAATGTTTGTGGCTGCAGAAGAGATTCCAAGGCTTTTCTGTGAGAGACTGACTGCAAAGGATCCAGACCTACAGCATAAATTGGGTAATGCCAGACATGAACTCTGTTGGACCTGGGGCTATAAATACAAGTTGTTTGTGTCTTTTGTTGTTGTTGGTAACTGGGATAGAATCAATATTTTGCCTGAATCAGACACATTGGTTGATGATGCAAAATTGAAATTTCTAGGGCCATTCCAATTCTAGTCACACATTCAAAGTATTGTTATGGAAGATTACAAAACAGCTCAGCATTGTTCCACATAATTGTTTTGTTTTTAAATTATATTCCAGCTGCTATGATACCACTGAAACTTTGAAAAATGTCTCTTGTGTGTGGCCCTGATGTGTAGGTCCTGCACTAGCGCTTTCATACTGGAATTAGATATTAGCTGTGAAAAGATTGCAAAGGTGTTTGGGACCTGAATGAAAAGGATGATTATTTGTATTTCAGTATTTGACAGCTTGGTCAATGTAGGCAAAGGGTGTTTGTCATCAACAGAATGAAAAGACCTGATATTACTCAGTACAAATCACTCAGGAACAGAACTCAAGAAACAAAAAATTCTTACTTTAAATCAAAATGCAAAAAAGGTCAAGATTTGTTTGTCAGAGGCCCAAGAAAAAGACAACAAAAAAAATATTTTTAAATCTACCATGGGAAATTAATACTGAGGTGATTTTCAGGCTAAGTCTGGGAACATAGCGATGTCATTTTAGAATAAACACCAAAAACAGATGCCACAATTTCATAAAATAAACATGCAGTGAAAGGGTAACACAGACATTAGCAGCAAACTGAGTCAGTAGCCAATACAGTATGATGAGAAGGAGTACTCAGTATGGTGTGATGTGCTGTAGAAGCCATTAGCCATATGGTACCGTGTGAAGAGGGCCTCTGTGACTAAGTAACAGTTGTATGTTATGTGGTTTATAAAATAATTATGCAATGGCAAGCAACTCTTTTATAATTATTGGCTGTTTCAAAATATTTCTGCTAATCTGGAGGCATTTACTAAGTTGATGGATGCAGGCAGTCTGCTTCCTCTGTCTGCACGTTTGTAGATTGTGTGGAGTATCATCCTACTAAAGGCAGTGACCGTTTTAAACCTGGCCACTAGAGATTGCATTTGTTTTTCTTTTTCTGAAAACTCGGGGAATATCCACATAAATACATCATAACTTGGTGGGACAGCTGCCAAGGAAGGACCCAGTAGTTACCCTTCCACTATTCACTGGCACTTCTTGGCTACCCTTCCTTTATCCATTGACATCTCTGAAAATTGAAGGTGTATCACCAGAAAACCCTATTGCTCTATCACTGTTGATGGCTTGACAGTTTCAGTAGATTCTGGTTTTTTATACTTTGCTGTGTCTTTCATTCTTATATCAGAGGCAACAAAACTATCAGCAACTGAAGAACATCAAAAAAATGTCTTTGGTTTAATCAACAAGAAGATGGCACTAATTTCCTTTTCCTTTTCTACTGCTCCTCAAGCAAGCATATGGAAGATAAGTGCCTGTTAGACATTGCAGCACTTTTGCTTTGAAATGGGAATAAAGTAATAAAGAAATAAGGTTTTGGGGAAACTCCTCAGCTACAAAATTTTCTGGCAAGTGAGAGCTGGACACCCAGAGAAGCAAGAGGCACCCAGCTCCTGGCTGTCCAGCTGTGATAGTGGAAGGTGAGAGGGTCCTGTGACCCTGCAGTACCTGAATCAGCTGGCTGGGAATAAGGAAGGGTGTGGGTCTGAACAGCTGGGATATCAAACATAATCCCCAGAAGTCAAGCAAGATGCACAGCCTGGAGAGGTCCACAAAACAATTCTTCCCTTTCTATCCCTTTGGCACATGCTGCAGACCACAAAACACTTCCCATCTTCCCCCAGTAAACTTTAGATCCAGCGTAAAAGGCCGATTGTAAAATACAACAGGAAGAGCACAGGAGAGATCAAGGGCTGCCAGTATAAAGGTCTTTGAACATCTCCACATGGGTCAGCTCTAGCTTGGTCCTGGAGACATTACAGATCAAACAGGATTTTTATTGTGTGCATGTGGTGCATTGCTGTGAGTGCTCTAGAACAGCCCTGGGATAATCTCCCTGTTGCAGGTACAGCTGCCATGTAGGTTTTCAGCTTTGGAGTGGTTGGTCAATTGATGTTTTGATAGTGCAGGTAACTGATATGAATTGTAACTATTGCACTAGTCTTATAATAGGGAAACATCATTAGAAATTCTGGAAACTACAACTGCTATGAGGCTTCTGACAAGACTTCAGTGCACTAAAATGGAATTCTGGCCTATTCTGCCAGAAGTGTAGGTGCAATGGATTTTTTTTTTGCTATCACTAAAAATATTTTGCAAAGCTGCAATCCAGTGGCATGGTTTAAACAACATTTCAAATGCTGAAAAGGAATGTGTTTCTAAGTACAATACAAGGATATATATTAGAAAATTTCACTATACAGAATAATACATGCACACATACATATATGCATGTTTATACATTTTCCTTACAAGAAAGAGGCCATTTTTCATCAATGATAGCAGATGGCACGACTGCTGAACCAGTTATTTTATTTTATCTGGTATTACTAGGGAAGATACCACTTTCATTTTTGCCAGCATTTGTAGTGTAAATGAGGAGCAACCTATTGTAAAATGTTGCTACTGAGATCAAAGGAAGCAGTCCTTACTACCAAGCTAAAATCATTCTGGGGAAATGTTTTTGATTATGGTTAATGATGTAATCAAACCACTAAACTGCCTAGAAGTTGGAGTTGCAGCAGGCGTACAGCCTGCCCATTACAGAGCACCCAATCGACAAAAATACCGAGGGGAAAAGGTGTGATGGAGCAAACAAGACGCCAGTTAAATGTTTACTCTAATGGCACACAAAACTGGACAGATTTGATTAGAATACTTATGCCTGCCTTCTTAGGAGAAGAAAACTGAATGGCTGAAGGTTTAGCACAGAAAAAAAAAAGCCAAAAAGCCAAAGGTGGAGAGGAAAGGACCAAAAAAGGTAATTTTTTAACATCTTTGATTTCTTTCTTTAAAGACCAATTACTTTCCTGTCCCCTGTGGGAGAAAAACATTCTTCTTCTTAATAGCAGAATCATTCTAAGACTTCTCTGATTCATTTTATATTTAGCAGATTACAGTTTTGGAGTCATCAGTAGGAGAGAACCCAGCAAACTGACAGACCTGAAATCATGTCCTTTGATTGTAATTGACAGGGAAAGCGTTTAAGGTAAAGAAAAAAAATATTTTATTCATCTTTGATTACACTGTGATGTGATTTGGTGACATAATACAGCTGTGAACTGTGGCAAGAAAGGCAATAATTCCTACTTGAGGCTTTGACGTGATGTAGCCCTTTAGTCTTCTTCAAACCAATGCCTCCAGCTACAATAGTGCTCTTGATGGAGTCTAGACAAATAGATATACAGACTGTTGCAATTAAGGAGGCAAACAGCTTTAAAATAACATTTCTCTAGGCCATGTATTTTTGTGTTAAATGGCTGAGCTGACACATATTTTTCTTTACTAAAATTAAATCTAGATTATCTATTAAATAATCAAGCATTGGACAAAAATTAGTCACTTCAGAAGGGTTTTAAGAGTACCATGAATAGAAACTTTTTAAATCTACAAAACTGTTGAACAAGAAGCACCCAGTAGAAGTGAAAGGTGTGTTTAGTGAATTCTCATGAAGAGGCTCTGAGGACTATATATGTCTTGTGGACCTCTTAACTTTTAAACAATTTCACTTTGAATTTAATTCTCAAAATATCACTTTAATATTCCTAACAATTCACTGTGTCAGGCTCTTCAGGCTCTTCAAAAATACTTAGCAGCTCCTGATTTACAAAATCCTTGGGCATCTCTGAGAGATTTCTTTAAGGAATAATATCAAGAAAAGTAAAGAGAAGTTCAGGACAATAAAAACTGTATTACCAAACTTTAGCTGTCATAGGAAAGCAATTTAATGTACTCTCTCCTTGTGTTCTTGGAGCCTGACTTACATAAATCACTAACTAGGATTGACCTAGACAGGAACCCACCCTGATGGGGTTAAACTGGGTGTCCAAAGGGAAGTATGAGAAGTCACATGTCCTCCATTATGTTGAAGTTTTTTACAGTGCTGTTCCAGGAGATTTAAAATGTCTTGCTTATTACAGAAATGTTTTCTTGCAACTACGAGAGGTAGACAGTAATTTAGAGATCACCTATTTCATCATTACAATATGTGTGGATCACTTCCAAAAGTAAAAGTGCAATTTCATGATGATTATCATGATAATTCTTGCAAATGACTAGATTCCTGCTCACACTCTGGGCTTTTAGATATAAACAGTTAACCTAGGGCAATAAAGAAAATGTTAGAAAATTCTGTCACATCCTCAGGATGTGTGTTACAAACATTTGAAAAACAAGGGATTTGATCATCCTCACCAATATTTTCTGATGAAACTGCAAAATCAGTAGCACCCAGAGAATGCAAAACCCATTATTCATGCCACTTCACATTTGTCTTAAAGATGTTATTTCTAAAGTACTTTGTGAAAGCCTTTGTGTTTTCTGATTTAATCTACTGTATGTGGTTATGAAAATAAGGTAGCGTAAAACATATGTTCAATAGAATAGTGTTATTTCATAAGAAGAAGCCTCAAATTCATCATCAAAGTAATCACCATATTAGTGTATTTTGAAAGTGTAAAGGGCTGTCCTGAGTCACTCTTCTTAGACAGCAATAGCAGTTGCACAGACTGAGTTTCCTGTTACACAACGAGCTCCATCACACAGCAGCACGAGCTGAGCTTCCTTAATCTCGTCCTTTTATAATTGTCTCTATGTCTAAACTCCAGTGACCAGTTCTAGGAATAAAATCATTCAAACTCCCTGCCCTATATACAGACATTGCCAACATTTTTTTAGTTCAAATAGTGATGATGAAACTAAACAAACACCACTAATTTACACTAATCCATCAAAAAGCACCTGGATGCTGTTAGGAATTGTCCCTAGATATTATTGGTTCTATTGCTAATAACACAGTTATACAAAACACTGACATCTTTCCAGGTGTATTCTTCTATGACTTGGGATGTTCAGAACTTCAGATATACAATGTTGCTAAGGCAAAAATGAAATACAATAAATGCCATTAGAGGGCTTCAGGTGAGATGAAAATAGTCATGATAATTTCAAAACTTAATGATAAACACAATTTAATCACAGCATTTAAGAATTACTAAAAGCAGGACAGTATCCGCATTCTGGAATTGGCCTTTCATTGCTCCCAGGTCTAAAAAAGGTAAAATAGTATACAAGTTTGAATGTCTTATTATTTTATTTTTTTTTTATTTTTTTTATTTTTTCTGCTTCATCATTGATATTACAGTTTCCAAATTCTGAACCAAGCCCCTGTGGCGGTGGACTTCAGCCTGAACACAAATACTAGGACAAGAGAAAAATTCAATATCTAAGAAAAACATTTAATGACCCCTACAGGTTTTGTGTTCACACAGACTTGGTTGCTAATATTTTTACAATGCTGTGCTCTATCTATTGCTATGAATAGGCTTGGAGATTCCAGTTAGCACTCGTGGAGGAAATTCCATTCACAAGGAGGTATCTCACTTTACTAATAGGGTTGCAAAATTTGGCAATTATATATTAAATAAGACATACTGATTAAACTACATTACCATATTTATTATCTGTTGCGTTTTTCACAGTCAGTTTTCTGTTTTCTTTGCAGTACCAAGCAAAGAAAAAAAACCCTAAAAATAAATTTCTGATGAAATTTATAAAGTTATAGCTAAAGAAACATTATCCCTAAAATTACCATTTGAATGATAAGCAATTTTGGGAGTAATTATAGTGCACACTCTACATTCAATGCATTCTGATATATGGATAATTACTCCTGGTAATATGTGTTAGTTAGATTTTATAACAACAATAACAATTTATTGCAAAATTAATTCCTTGGCACAATTTAACATTTATTGATGTGAAGTCAAAGTGAATTGATTTTATTGCAGACCACTTGTGATACGTTTTCCCTATGCTCCTGCCCTAATTGGTTATTATAGGTCATTTTGGTATTTAGTTTTAAAAATAAATTAATTTGGTACCAAGGTGCATTTAGTAAAATGGCAAGATATTTACAGCTCATGTGGTTTTATTTAAATAAAAAATGGTAAGGTAATGCAATCATCCTTGGTTATAAAGTGATGGATGAATTGAAAACATTTCTGAATCAGGTCAATGGTAGTGATGATTAGTGCATTGTTAATCAAGTTGCTGAGATTGCTATCAAAAGCTTTATCTCTTTCACTCAGACTGGTGAGAGGATCATGAATATTAAACAGATTCAAATAGATCTGCACTCATGTAATATGGAGCACTACAAATGAAAAGGCTAAATGAACCCAGACTGTGACTTTATGCACTGATATATCTCTTAACCAAAGGGGAATGTCTAATCCGTTTCTATACTCGTATGAGGCTACATACATTGCAAGAATACAAAGACAAAGTATTTCATGTACCATATTCATTTTATGGGGTAAGTACTTATTTACAGCCCTATCCATGTGAAGAAAATATCGTTGTAGAAAGGTTTGTCAGGATTGAAACAATACTACTGCAGGCCAGATTTTAATTCCTACAACACCAGTAAAAATCCAAATATTGTACTTGAAATCAGCACCCTCATCTCAATGACATTGTCCCTATTTTATTATTGCTGACTTACTTGGATTTATGATTTAGGCCAGTGTATAGTTTAATTATATATCTGGAATCCATTAAATCACTTCAAACCTTAGAGGAGATGTAACAATTAATGTATGTAATCACAAAAGTGGAGGCTTGAAAACTGCACACATGCAGGTATGTGCTTAACTGAGTGCTCCTGAGAAACTCCATGCATGTTCAGCTGGATTAACCAGGGACACGAGTCTAAACTGCTTCTATTTTGCAGGTACAAGGCCTTCACTAAAACCAGGTCTTTGTAATCAAATCTAGAGAACAAAAATCCCAGATGAACAAAACAGAATGAAAAACCTAACCACCTTTTTCTCATGTCTATTTGATAAGTAGTATGTTAGAAAGAAGCCAGCACAGATCAGATGTCAGCAGCTGTCTTGCCAGGGAAAGATACTGACTCTAGACTGAGTTCTTTTAAAGCTGGTTTAAATAAGTTTTGAGGCTATTTAACCTTAGCTGGCTGTAGAGCTTGTACCTTTGCAGTACAGCAGGCTGTAGTGCAAACAGACCCTCAGATTGTCTCAGATGTGCATAAGCAATGAGGTAGGAATTCAAACCTACTGATGACTGCTAACTATGAGAGGTAAACTCTTATAAAGTTCCCATTTTAGAGAAAAGACTTAGAACTAATGGCTCAGTGAGGTAATAACAATGCAGTCTGAGATTGTCACCTAAGAAGTAGTTCAGTACACTGTGGTCACTGGTAAAAACACTCTTTTTATTGATATATAGTTTAAGGGGTTTATATAGAATTTAGAACTTTTTTACTAATGTAACTAGCAAAAATACTGAAACTTTAAAAGCTCTTGAAAATACTTCTTTTTTTGCACCTGCACCACGAAAAACAAAGCCATTTTGAGAAGGATGAATGCATAAAGACAAATTACATAGTAAGCGTGTTATTTTTCTCATACTTATGTAGTATTAGACTAGCAGGGATTAAAAACAGCATAATAAAACCATTACTTGTCTTTATATTTCACACACAACCATGGCTTCCTCTGTATAGGGCATAGAAATTAAAATATATGGCAGAGAAAATATCAGATCACAGCTTCTGAATCTGAAAATTTACCTTTTAATCTGAGAGAGGCAATAAATGAAAAACATCCCTAGTCAAAGCTGATCCTGCTGATTTATGTAGACCACCCTGAGCACAGTGCAAGATGGAGACCACCAAAGTCACTTTTCACGGTTAAACTGCAGTGAGTCACAGCCCTGCATCCCTCTGTGTGTCTCCTGTTTAGTCTCTCCCCAGCACAGAGCCTGCCATCACTGACCCCCCTGCCTGCTGGGGAGGTTTTGATGCAGTCCAACATTGTACTGTGTGAGCACATTCCAGACTGGAAAAGTAAACACATGAAAAAGCACCATAGCTCTCTCATCACCTCCTCGACATCAGGATTTTTTATCTTTTATTCTCAGGGAAGACCATGTTAAGGGGTGGATTTTATACTTTGATCTGAAGAAGCTGGGATTCCCAGAAGACCTCATCTCTTTGAGGATGGAGACACGTTGTGGGTGAGTGGTCAGGAAAGCTCTGTCTTCCATAGTCCTAACTTCAGTTTTTATCTTTGACTCTGGAGAGCTCAGTGCACTGGAGATCTCTTGGGAGGTCATCCATAGTAGCTTAGGCTAATCTGATGGATGGCTTTGAAGTTGAGTAGTAAGACTTATAACCAGATATTCAATGAAGAGACAGGCAGCATAATTGTAGCTTGTTTTTTAAAGTCAGATTCCAAGTTTGAAATAGCTGGAACTATTCAGGTAACCTCTTTGCTGGCAGCTGTAAAACCAGAGCCTGCAATGAATTTGCCCTTATTTTACCAGGGCTGGATGTAACCCAAAGCATGCCAATCTTTTCCCCAGAGATTTGAATTCTAGATCTGAATTAACCAGCAGGGCCTCACTCATCTGCATTCCCTCCCTGTCACCTGGTAGACTCTGTTCTAATTGTGGCAAAATTGTCACCATGCACCTGAACCTTGAAAAAAACAAAGACACTTAAAAATGAATCAATAAAATTATGATAATAAAATGCAACGAGTTTTCTACATATAAGATTAATTGCTGAGAGTGACACAAATGCATCGCACAATAAAAAGCAGACACAAATGCAAGCTTTAGCACCTCAAACCCCTGTGCTAAAAAGCCCTCTGTCCTTACTGCTGGCTCTTAACTAGCTGTCAGCTGACTGAAATTAGTCAATCTCACTGTCTTGTGTGATCTTTTTTTATGGAGAATACCACAATCATCCCTGTAACTGCACATGAGGAACTACACTTGCTGTTACTATAGATAAAGATAATAAAATATGACCGTTATTTTTTGCCCAGTTTATCCTGGTGCTTCACTTATTCAGAAGCTTAAATCAAGATGAACTCTGCTAAAGTTGGCAGAATTAAAGCAGTGTAAAACTGATGTACATGAATGGGAGGAATTGTGTTCTTGGTCTAGAACATGCTAAATTAACTTTTGTGTGCTATTCTGCCTGAAGAACACTTCTGGCTCTTAAGTGCTGAGGTATTTGAAGTCTTACTGCAAATCCACAGAGCAAGAGCTGGCTTACATTTAATCAAAGAGTGGAAATAGATGTTGAATACAGAAGCAGCAGTGTGCAAGAGGAAAAGGAACGGAGGGAGCCCGTATGACAGCTCCTCAAGGCAGCCATGACCATCTTGGGTGTTTCTGGTTAGAGCTGTGTTTTAGTGTATCATTATTTTAAATCAGCATATTTCATATATTTGACTAGGAAAAAGCTCAAAAACTCCTCTGTGTCCTGCAGATGTATCTTAAAAGATGAAGAACAAAATACTCACAAGTCTAAGCTGAGAAGAAGGATTATTAGGGGACGCAGGAAGTTAATATTCAGTCAAATTACAGCCCTACAGACATTTCAGGATGTCTTTGAAATCACTACAGTCATAGAAAAATGAAAGAGTAGCTAGAGAATTTTGAGAGTGCTGGACTAGCTCTGTATCTATGCAACTGAATTTAGAAAAAAATATAAATTCTGTAATTATACTTAGTCTGTAGATCAGTAATTTAAATATGTCTGCAGGAAAGGAGTTTCCTTTGCCAGTGACATTCCTTCCTTCTATCCAAAACCAAAAAAAAGCCACAGTCCACCATCAGGGACATAGAATTAAAACCAGCTTATTCTACCATTCCCAAAGCAGTGCCAGTGTTGTTAAACAAAGTATTTCACAAGACATTGCATAATTATTATAGTCTATCATTAAGCATCTTTGGACTAAAGATATAATGTGGCATAAAATAACAAAACTCCATGGAAGGAATGAAACTTGAATGACTGATACTGAGAGCTGAAGTTATATATTTACTTTCCAAACTGCCTATTGCTTAAGTAAATCTGATTCATTCTCAGGAACCAAGTTCCACTCACAGAGAAGAGTCTGAATTTTTAATTTTTTTTACAAATAAACAAATGGCATTACTAAAGGAAAAAACAGCATAACTAAGGAAATTAGTTATGTCTTCTAAAGAGAATTCACTAAAAATATACAGCTCTTGAATTTCAGAGGGAACACTGTCAGAGGAATTGGTTTCATAAAGGTGAAAGATTGGATGTAATGAGTAGCACTATCAAACTTCAGGAGATCATGCTTTTTTATGACATATTAGTATTCAAAAGATACAGAACACCTGTGAGACCCCTCAAATACAGTGGCATATGCTAGTCAATCTTTCTGAAAAGTATATGCCCAGCAGTGCAGCAAGACAAATGATTTTTAATAGCTCCTTTGGAAGGAAATGTCAAAAGATTATGCCTCATAATGTAGCATAATGTTCTAAAACTTTGCTTAAAAATAGGCACGTAATATGTTCAGAGCTTTATGTAGCTTACGACTTGGTCAAGCCATTGTACTCTGAGAAAATGAATGACAGTTTTATTCTAGTTCAATATCAATGCTTTTCTAGTTGCATCAAAAGGAAGGAATTCATTTAATTTGAAAGGAATTTTCAAAGAATAATCTTAAGTATGACAAAGTATCAAAGGAAGTATGGTGTTTAATTGTTCAGTGTCCAAAAGTTAGTAAAACTGCAAAAGTTCTTTCTTTTTATCTGGTGTTCAGGCTGATGGTTTATGAGCTTCACAGCTGACAGAGTTATGGGGCACAGCCATCTCAACCATTAATGCCTCCTCACCTACTTCGGCAACAAATTCAATCTTTTAGCAATAAAGCAGCATTTGATGAAGTTCCATTGCTTGACTTGCTATGAGCATCACCATTTTATACTGTTTTCCCTTCTGAATGTTGTTCATTATTTGTTCATCATTGTGTGTTTATAAACCACATTATGCTCTTGTTCTTCACCACGTACAGCTTTTTTGTTTTCTTTTTCAGTACCTGTCTTGTGCTCTCAGAGAGGTTGTGTGAGCACACCTTTGATGGCAGCCCTCTTGCCATGGGAGTCTCAAATCCACTGCTTGTGCCCTTGACTTCGGTTTTACTTCCACTCATACACAGGAAAAGCAGTCATACTAGCTTCACTCCAGCTCTAAACTGCTATGCCATGCAAGGCCCAAAAGCTGTGTGATGGCTCTTTTGCAGCAGCTGCTTTTCTGGCTGTGTTCTCAGCACTGGGCTTGCAGTAACTCTGCTGTCGCTGGGCAATTCTGGGGATGCTGAGTGCTGAGGGCTGTGTTGGCCTGTAAGGATGGTCCTGTGCAGCCTCTCTGGGTGTTCCCCTGCCCAGCCCATGGCTCAGGTCACTGTTTCTGACTCCCCAGGACACCCATCCTGGCCCCAGTGACACTGCAGCGTTGCCAACCCAGCTCCCACAGCCAGTCCCTGGGGCTGGGCTGTCCTGGTGCCCAGCCTGCCCTGCTCCCTGGCTGCCTGTGGGACACACCTGCCTGGGACACCTGCCCCCCTCCCTGGGGCATTCCCAGCTGATCCCAGCCCCTGGACACACCTGACCTGTACACCCTGAGTGACTTGGTTTTCAGGTCTTGAAGGAAAGCACAATTTAGTTCCCAACTCCCCTTCCCTCTTTCTTGAGGGAAACTTTGAGGTGTACCAGGAATGCACAAAGGGCCTTGTAATGGATGTGGCTGAACAGCTGAAAATGCCCCAGGGGAAGGTGGTGGGTTTGCAGTAAAATGAATGAGAATTGAAGGAAATAACAGAAGTACCTGATGTGTTCAAGTCTCAGTTCTGAAGACAGGGCTGTGGAAGCGGGCACCCTGCTCTGGCACTGCCTGTCTGCCTGCCACAGCTCTCCAGAGGAGGTCAGAAGATCTCAAAGAACTTTCTCTTCCTTGACTCTAAAGCTAGTTTTAGCTATTTAGTTTCTCCTGAATGTATTTTATGTATGTGTGTTTTGCATAAATGTGTCCATTGCCTACTCTATTGTCTTGGCTCCAGGAGAACAAAAACATGCAAAAGTAGACAACAGTAGATGAAAATTCTATCTACTTCCTCTGGATTCTTTCTGTCCCTCTGTGGATCTCTGGACAGGGCAGCTAATGCTGACAAGGTATCTGGAAAAGCAGCAAACAGCAGCGTTCCTCTCTGACTCCCAGCTGTGCTGCAACCCTGCTAAGGAGCAGACTGGAGAGAATCTTCATTCCCAAAGACAGACCAATAATATCTATGGAGTGGTTTTTTCCTCCCCACTCCTGTTTTGCACAGAGAAGCCTGTAGATGAGGAAGAACTGGAAGCAGCAGCCAGAAAGCAGCAGCCAAAAGGGGAAGCATAATCTCCCAGTATGGACAATGCAGCATTGCTGACAAATAAAACCCAACATGATACCTGTCCTCAGAACTAAAACAGCTAATTATGAATGGGCAAAGAAGAAGCAAATCTGGGCATCTATTGAAATTCTGTGGAACACCACAATGAAATTATTCTTCCAGGATCCAATTCCACTCGTGAAAGCAGTCAGACTCCATTTTCAAACAAAGTCTATAACATTTCCTTAATCACAAAAATCCATTCTTATTCTTCTATTTTTTTTTTAAATTAAAGCTTGAATAGCCCATATATTTTACCCAAAAACAGGGTTAAGCCTTCGAGCAATTATTTTCATTAGCAGATGATGTCATCTCATCAGTAGGTATTTGTTGAGCATCAACAAAGTGAATAGTTTACAAAAGCTGGGCTTCTTAGTTTAAAAGAAAGTGTAGAACTGAGGCCTTTTCTTTTTTCTCCCACAGCATTGGCAATACTTTCAAACGTCTGTTTAATCCATTCTGTCAGCAGTCTCATGAGCTGATGCCTCTGCTTTGGGTTTGTGTTGATTCTTTGGCCAAGCCTTAAAGCTTCGTGGTTTTTGATACAGAACTGAAAGAAAAGCTTTGATGCTTGTGAATGTTGACTGCATGAAGTAAATAATGTGAGGCGGGTTTAAATGTCCTCATTTTTTATTAAGCCTTCCAAACACATGAAACTGAAGGTAAAGAAAAGTCACATGAAAAGGAAATAATATCCTATAAAGTGAAAATATTCTTAATGTTTCTAATCCTCATATCTCACATCCAGAGTCTGTTTCC